AATCTTAAAAAATTTAAAAGTAAAAAGTAAAAAGAAAAAGCTTGTAATAACTAACCGTAAAATATAATAACACATTATATTGATACATACAAATTTTAGTTATTTTAATTACTTAATTGAATTATCTTATTCTTTATAATTGAATTTAATTGTCTCACTTTTTAAATAGAAGTGATATGATTTAGTTATTTTACTTTTTATTTTAATAATATATTAAATATTAATATTTCAATTTTACCTTTATCTCAAAAGAGATAAAAATGTGTTACTCTTTTTAGTTTAAAATAACTGTTATTTTATTTTTTTTTCTAAATTAAAAGTTTAAAAATAATTTATGTATTTACCTATATTATCTTTATAAAAAAGTTAAAAACTAAAGTTAGACTTTTTATAATAAGATAATTAATTAAAATACATAAATAATGATAGGGTTAGATTAAGGGAAAATATTTATATATCTTAAAAAAATAATAATTAATTTAGAATAAATTCAAAGTTAAAAGTGGCAGTTATTTTGGGATAAAAAATAGGATTTTTTCATTTAATTATAAGTAAAGGTAAGATTAGAAAAATAAGTTTTAATTATTGTAATAAATAAATTTTTTAATAGTCATAAATGAATAATATGAAACAATGAAATCTGATTAAAAAAAATAATTTTAAATAATTAAAATTATAACCAAATTAAATATTCAATTTAAATTTGATACGGAAGTCACATTCAAAATTTTTTTAAATGACCAAAAATTTGGTTGGGTTCGAAAAGCCCAGCCCCAGGAGGACCAACGGCGACACTTTTTGGAAGAATTAATTGTGTATGGATCATTGGGAATAGTCAGAAAAGGTATGAGGATCGAATTTGAAAGTAACTCAACAAGAGAAGTTTAGGTCACGGCAGGCCCTTGGCTAACCACCACAGCCCCAATGCTGCCCGCGTCTCACCAAATCTGAACACTCTTTCCATTTCACAGCAATTTCAGGGGAAAATCAAACGAGCTGTATTTCCGATCGGAAAACTGAAAATTGATTTTTTTTTTCTCCTTTTTACGAGAAATATTCAATTTTTAAGATGGGTCAAGTTGAAAGCCACGAAGCAGCCGCAGCTGTAGTTGATGATCATCAAACTCAGAGCAAACAATCTTCCACTCCCACTTCTATGGAGTCCCTCATCGCAGGTTCCAAAATTTCCTTCTTTAGAGTCAGGATGCATGCTTTCTTATACCTGCATATATTTATATATATAAGAAATCTTGGGTTTAAAGTGTTTGTGAGAATGTCCGTGTGGGGTTGGTCACTCTGTGGTTTTATAGGAATTTAGCTTTTTCATTGCTTCTTATTTGAGATTAGGCACTCACATGCACCTGTTTTCTTGATTGAATAAAGATCAATAAAGTGCTTCTATTAATTCAATCTTTTGATAGATAAACATCACTATAGTTCATTAAGATTGACTGTAGCTACCAAGATGAGCACTTAGTTCCAGCTTGACCTATGTTGTCCATTTATGAAATTCAATTTTCCGTTTTCTTCGCGCTGCCCAAGGAATTTGGAACAACTATTAATAAAATTGCATGTTCTTAATTATCCATAGTATGTATGTTCTGACAACCTAGATCGGTTGTTCCTTTAGGTTATTTTCTAGTAAAACTAACCTAGTTCTAATGGATATGATAGAAAAAACGAAGAGAAAATTCTTGAATTGTTTATCAATAGTTTGTATTGTGCATGCAATTGTGCCTGTGTTGGGTTAAAAATGATGGGGGAAGGGATTTTTCAGCAATGCTTTCTCTTAGGTTTTTACTCATGTTTTCTATAGTTTGTAACTGTTGTACTGCATCGATTTGTACCTGAAAAAAACAGGAGTTTGGTTAATGTTTTTCAGCCATATGGTTTTCCTTCTCTTCCTCCTATTAGTTCTCCCCATTGTCACAACTTTTAGTTCATTCATTGGAAACAAGCCCTGGGGAGGGAAAACTTGTTTAATCAGGGTCATGTGGCAGTAATTAAGAAGTAAGAAAGCCTTCTTTCCTTTTCAGGATGGCATAATTAATTAGTATCCTTAATTGGTATGCATTACATCCATCATCTTTGCAGTATTCCTTTTTTTGGTCAGATCATCTTTGCAGTATTTGACAATTGCACTATCTTTTGTTTCCACAGAAGCTGCAGCATATGGAGATGATGAGAATGAGGTGAGTCCAAATTTGAATGTTATATATTTACATATTTTTACTTCCCCTTTCTTGTTTTGAGGTTTCTTCATAGTGACTGAAGAAATTGGAGAAAATATTTTTTTTCCCAGTCTCTTGATGCAAAGGCTCAGAAAGCACTAGAATGTCCTTGTATAGCTGACCTGCGGACTGGTTCATGTGGAACTCAGTTTTCTGAGGCATTCCTCTGTTTTCTCAAAAGTACTGCCGAGGAAAAGGTAACTGCTGATAATTGCAGGTGATTGGAGCCTAGTAGAGAATGCAGGCAAATTTCTTGTACAAAATATTATTTTTTTAATCTTGTTACTGTGATATTTACCCTTAAATGGCTCTAGCGATTGTTATAAAAGAGAGAATTATAACTAAAGAAAATAGACATTTACCGTGTTGCATTCTGTATTGAAGTTGTTAGGTCTTGGAGATGAAGATTCTCCATATCTATACTGTGTTGCGGTGACAAGACATATTGGGGTTATGTAACTAGAACCTAGGGCATTTCTTAAACATTAACCGTTTAAAACATTTTTGAACTTTTCATTCTTTTCCTGTTTTCAGTGTTAGCAACTGAGACCTTATTGCATCTGATAACTCAGATGTCTAACATTCAGCAAATGTATCTAGATTATGTTCACCCTTAATTCTTAAGCATAAGCATTGAGTCTGGTGGTTAAGGGTGGGTGGGACTTGGGAGGTCTGATTTTCTTGAAGAGGCTATTAACTACAGCATTTTATTTTCAGAATTTCCTACACCTCTGTCTTGTTTTGTAAGATGGGCCCAAATGTTGGGGTCCTTTCAGTTTACAACCTTTGTATAGGCACTAAAATGCAGAAATTATCTTATTTCACAGGGTTCAGATTGTGTGCATCCATTTGTGGCTCTGCAGAACTGTATCAAAGCTAACCCCAATGCATTTCCGAGAGACATATTAGAAGATGATGTCAAGAAAGAACAGTCAACCCGTGAATACAAGATCTACCCTCCTGAATGGGTCAGTGAATGTCGAAGTCCTAAGTCAAAGCTTTAGGAAGGTATTTTCATATTTCCCAATTTTTCTTGGTAATAACTGGAATTCGATATGCATTTTTTTTTTTTTTTGGTACTTTGGAAATTAGTTGTTTAATATTTTGGAGAGTTGAACTCCTGACTGTGATTCCAAATCAAGGTTTTATTTCGTAGGTAAAAACTTAGCTATGCTCTTATTGGAAATTAGATATACTATTTTGATTAAATATCTATTTACACAAGAAATTTGATCATGATCAATTTGGACCTCCAAAATTCTTGGTGTATGATACTCATCCTGTTCAACTTTAGAAGAACTATTTTTTAATTTGAGGCATTCAAATTTAGTTGTTTACTTTTCCTTTTTAGGATGTCATTTAATGTATTTATTCCTATTTTACTCTTTTTAAAAAAAAATAATTGCAATATATATTAAATAATAATAAGAAGTCTTATTTAAGTGGTACTTAATTAAGGATAAATATGAAATTTTATCAATAAATTATTATATTTTCATTTTATTGGACAACAAAAACTAGGCCTACTAAAGTTGTATTGAGGAAGTATTATTGAACCATATGACATTTGTGCATATTAAATTATGGCAAGCAAAAAAATGATAAAATCCTGGTAATGAAAGTGCGTTTGATTTGGGATGGTTGTCTGACAAAGTGGGTTAAATCCTTCATTATGTAAAAATAATCCAATACATAAAATAAAAAGTCTTTTTTGTGAAAAATAAATGAAAATCTTTTTACAGGTTATTCCTCTTTTTTTTGCCAGATTGGGGACAGTATTGAAGTTGGTACATTCATGCTTTTCCTCAGTCTCTCAATTAGGTAATACATGAGAGGAAACCTGATACTTTGAACAAGAATGGTTAGAAAGACGTTGAGATTTCAGGTTAACAGAATGTATTGAACCAGATGAGATGATTTACCTAACAATTTTTTCCTATTAGAAAATGCTTGACATATCGCATTGATACCAAGAAGATGAACAGTATATAAATCTTCTTCCCAATCCCATGGCAAGTGAATTCCTACCCCTCTCAACTCTTTTCTAAGAAAAATGTGATCTCCCTTGCCTATAGTTCTCAACCACACTGTTTCCTTCTTTTTTTTTTGCTCTTAGTGTATTAGATGTTGGGCTATACTGGGAAAGTCCTTTTCTTCCTAAACGCTTTCTTACCTATCATAGGATTTGAATTTGAAATTTTCAACATGAAAAGTTAAACTCTTATTTACTAAGACATCTCCTAAGGGACTTAATCAGCACTCTGTTGTTGGTCCTATCTTCTATTCTGTTTCGCTCTCATTTACTCAAAACGTGCAATATTCTCCCCTTGCTTCTTACTACCATCATTATTCTCTTCTTCTCTATGTTTTATCAAGTACTATTCTATCTGAATTAGAAGATGGAAAAATCACTTGTTCTTGATATTCTGGGATCTTAGAATTCAATTAAAAATTTCGTTTTACTTTCTCTTGGTAGTAATTGTTGTCTGAAAAATTCAAAGTTCAAAATGATTTTTTTTTCCTGATATTTAGGTTACCAGTTCACCGTTCACAGAACAAAATAAACCAGAAAAGAAAAGAATTTAGAATCTACAATGACGGTACATTACCACTCCCGTAGTGGTCATTCTTACAACAACAACCATGGCAGCCCCTAAGCCACAGGTTATTAACCTTATAAACGGCGATTCCATCCATTCTCCATATTACAACGCAAAAGAGAACACGAAGACTTTCATATTACAATCCAAAGAGCTTTATCATCAGCAAAAATTTTGTCATTTGATGAAATGTTGGAGAAACTTGATGACCAGAGTCCTGGTCACGGGCAGCACTGTTAGAACTTGGAGGCCTAACCACGTTATTAACTTTAAGGCGTGCTGAAAATGTTACTTCTTTTTTTTTCAAGGTTTTTTTGCTGTTATCATTTCAGTGTGAAAGGGGATTAATCGAAATGTGTGCAATATATAATTTACCCACCCCTATTGTTATGCTTTGCACTTACAAAACCAAATTTTCTTTTAAACGGATTACAATTTAGAAAGAAGGATTTAAATCTCAACCCTAAATTTAAAGGTGCATCTTACAAAATTATATATAATTATTAGTTTACGAAACTAGATGCAACAAAACCAATCATTAAATCATGCTCTCGGCAAGATTATTATTTTCCTATAAAGATTTTGATAGCAATCATTGCATAAAAAGAAATATTTAAATTTGATAACAACATGAATCTTACTCATATTTTTTTATTGGAATTTATAGTAGAAGAGGACTAAAAGAAGCCTTTTTATAGGTTACAGAAGTTTATTTAGATATTTTCCAAAAAAATATGTATAAAAGAAATTTATTATAAGGATGGTGTTATTGAGATAATTTTTTTGTTTTATTTTTTTGTCTCATATTTTTATACAATTTTTACATGTCATTAAATGAATTGATGCATTCAATATTATAAACCACATATGAATTAAAAGAACTAATCATTTTAATAATACGTTAAGTTATACAAAAAGATAAAATAAAAATATTATACCAATATCATTTTCCTTATCATAAAAGTATATATTTTCATTTATAATTTTTATTACCCATTGTCTTCTTTCCTCTATTCTAAAAATTTCTTCTGTAACAATGGTTTGTTTCAATCGAAATTGAACCATGGTCAGTCTACCACATACATCGGACTAGCCAGTCCCGATAACTAAGTCAATCTCAGTTTGGACTTAACCCACCCTTTGATATTTTTCCCATGAGCTAACCATTCTCTTTTCGAAAAAGTTAATAAAGCCCCTTTACGTATGAAACACAGGCACGGCTAAATCTTTTGACTTTTTGTGTGAGTTTCCTTTGGTGCCGTTTTCACAAGGCAAGAGCTAGTGTTGAGCCTTCAAACTTTTCCCTTATTGACATGTAAGCCCATAAACTAAAAAACGTGCATTTAAGCCCTTAAATTCGTCAATTGGCGCAAATCAGCCGTTATGATAAAGTTTTCCGTTAAAGGCTTTCATGGTGTCGTTTAGGTATTTAATAAGAAAAGGGTTAATTGCAATCTAGTCCATGAGTTAGTTAAATTTTAAACAAAATCAATTCTCAAACTTTAACAAAATACTTAAAATGACTCATTTTCTACTATTTAACTTTCTTTTATGATTAAATTGATTTTGACCCAATTAAATTACATAAATAGATTACAAAACCATAAATATAGAATGCCCAACTACTTTTGCTCCACCTGTCTCATTATTCTCTGGTTCCTTTTCAACTACTTTTGATTGCATTAAAGTCTAAAAGATTTCATCTAGCAGTCATATTTTAAACATTCTGATAAAGTTCCAAAACCTTTATGCTAAGTGACCCTCCACGTTTTGCAAGAAGGTTGAAACATTTCCAGAACCAAGACACCAAGTTCTGGAACCTTCATGCTGAATCAAAGTGCAATGGTCAAATAAATTTGAAAAAGGTTCCATAACGTTTTTACAAGTTTCAAAACCTCAACTCAGATTTTCATATCTACATTTTGAAATTACATCCAACACTTTCCACATGAGAATATGAGGCTATAATGGCTAGTTTTTGAAGAGTTCAAGCTTTAACTATAAATACAAGCCTTAGCAGCTTCCAAGAAGATGAAGTAGAGAAAACATCTAAATATTGCAATTTCTTTCTATCAATTTTCCCTTCTCTCTTTTGTCCATGCTTTAATTTGTTTTATATGGTGTTGAGCTCCTATGATAATTTTAATGATAACAAAACCATTAGAAAAGTTTAATGAATTTTATACAAGTGTATAGGACTAAAGAAAAAAATTTTAGAGAAAAAACTCATAAAATCTAGTTTTCATGCATTGTAGTAATAGCCTTCGCTCATTCATTTAAGAATATATATATATAAACACACATACAATGAGAGTTTTGCCTTAAGGATTAGTTATGTGAAAGTAAACATCTCAAACTTTCCAATAAGAACAACAGCATCCAAAATAGAGTTTGATGAGAAAGATATGGGTTCTCAAAATTGGATGAAAGATTAAAGTTCAAGATACTAAAAATGTGCAAGAGAGGCAGCCTAGAACTTTGAACTTTGGAGCCAGCTTGGTTGTTTAGAAATTCAAAAAGTGTAGCTTTGGCATAGATGGAAATTGCCCAGTGTTAAGTTGGTTTAGACTTTGCAGTCGACTTGATTAGATGCAAAATTTCATGCTTCAACAGTCAAAATATTTAAAGATATTATAATTTTTCACACCCCAATTTTTCTAAGCCGACTTAGACTTTTGTAGTCGGCTTGAAAGAAAACAGAGTGTGCATAGGTTACAACAAAGCTAGCTTTGAAAAGTTAAACCAGATTAACTATTAGAATACAACGGTCGTTTTTCATATTCTAAGAGAGTTGCAGTGCATCTAATAGTTACTAATGGTTACTTTTGACTTTGGTTTTATAAATATAGTTAATAAAAATTTTAGAGAGCTTTTAGACACATTAAAAGATTAAAAATAAGATTTGATTTAGATTTGGAAATTCTTTTGAAAGTTTTGACCAAAGCTTTGACCTTGCACTTGCAAATTAAATTTTAGGAAGATTAAATCTTTGTAATCTTTCTTTTCAGGTTAAATATCCAAGTTGGTCCCTCAACTTTTATTTTGAATCAAATCTATCTTTGAACTATTAAAAGTACCAAAAGTACCCTTGAACTTTAATTTTTAGTATCAATTTAGTCTTTTTGTCAACCGAAATGACACATGGCACATTAAAATCCTATAAAATCAATCATTTTTTTTAAAAAAATTTAATAACGTGTAAAAAAAATGCCTAATATGACTTTTTTAGACTTCCACATCAAATTCTTATAATTTTACAACCTTGATCTTCACACTTCGACTCAGTGGTCACAATTCTTAGATAAAGTAGAGATCATCTCTTATGGGCATGTGTTTAAACTCCATGGATCCCATTTTCCATTCCCCCAAATTGCCTTGTTAAAAAAAAATAATAAATAATAATAATAATAATAATTTCACAACCTCACGTAATCATTTTAATTAATTAATACATTAAAAAAATACAAATTACCTAAATACTCCCATCTTCATCCTCTAACCCCTCTTTTTCTCTCAACTCTAATCATCCCTCACCTTTCCTCACCATCTCTAGACGCCACTTCGATCACTATCTCTAGCTTTTTCTCTCTTTTCCTCCTTAAAACCTCTACCTTCTTTGATCACCATTATTTTGCCTTCTTCAAATCAATTAAGGCAACAGAGGTACTGTAGCTCTATTGACATTAAATCTTGTGGCAAAAACCTACTTTTAGCCTTTTATCCTAATAAATTTGTAGGTTTTAACTTATCACCTTATACTATAACACTTTTAGCCCTTTACCTTAATAAATTTATAGGTTTTAACCCATCACCTTACAATATGACACTTTTAGCCCTTTACCTTATAATATGACACTTTTAGCCTCTCACATATATGAATTAAAGAAAATAACCCTCATTTAACATCAAGTTATAATGTTTTGTTAATTGATTGTTAGATCTGTTGACTGATTGTTAGTATCCGTTAGCATTTCGTTATAGAAAATATGAAATTTAAATTTAATTTTATTTGTTAAATTTATTTGTTAATTTCATTAACGAAATGTTAATGGAATGCTAACAGTCAGCTAACAGAGTTAACAGTCAGCCAACAGAACTAACATAATGTTACAACCTGACCTTAAGTAAGGGTTATTTTTTTCAATTCATATAGGTGATGGGCTAAAAATGTCATAATATAAGATGAGGGGCTAAAATTTATAAACTTATTAAGGTAAATGACTAAAAATGTCATAGATAAGGTGAGAGACAAAAACTTACAAACTTGTTAAGGTAAAAGACTAAAAGTAAGTTTTAGCCAAATCTTGCAGGGTGGTAGATCAAGGAATGTTGTCTATTAGGAGGGAGAATACTGAGGATGAGGGCGATGATCGATTACCGTATGGAGCTAATATCTTGCCTAAATTATTTCCTTCGGCTAAACAGTAATTGTTGTAGCATATTTTTAGGCGTTGGCTCTACATGGA